GGGAATCTACACGGTTTGATATGCGTCCCGTGGGACCTTGTCTAGATCTGCCTGGCCACCAGGATTCTGAGGCGTAGTAAACGATGGGGAGGACACATGAATCTACTGCACGACGCAGTAGATGAGGAGGAGCCTCTCTTGTTGTATTACCAAGGGATGACAGAGCATGGCTAACCTTGAGGGCCTTTAAGGCGAGGGTTCGAGCGTGCCACTTAAAGGAGAGCTTTTTATCAAAGAGTACTCCAAGCCAGCGAGTGTATGGACGAGTAGTATTTTCAGAGACGGTAATAGCGCCAGCACTTACCATGGGAGTATTTATGGGTTGTTGGTCGAGTCGGCGGCGAGAGAAATGTTGAAGCTCATACTTGTCTTCGTCAAATTTCAAGCCCTGCTCTATGCCCCATTCCATGGCTTCCTGGAGGCTGAGTGAAAGAGATTCGGAATTTTCCTGGTGGGATGGAGAGGTGTGAAGGAAGGCGATATCGTCTGCGTATCCAAATCTTGTTTTGGCGGTTCCCATGTGGAGAAGAGGTGCAAGATATAGCATGAACAGAATAGGTGATGCTGGCGAGCCTTGTGGGAGGCCAAAGGAGACATCAAATTCGGGACCGGTAGAGCCATCTAGACGAATCTTGGCCACGCGATTGGAGGCGAAAGAGGCATCCCACTTTACCAAATTATCAGGCCATCCTTGGTCTCTAAGTCGATGGACTAGTCGGCCAGGAAGTACGCTATCAAAAGCACCCCTCACATCAAGCGTCAGGAGGGAGGCAGTGAGCTTACTATTCAGTGCTGTTTCGATGTCATGTACTAGACAGGTCGTCAAATCTGTGGCCGAGCGGAGAGGGAGGGCACCAAAGTGTTGTGAGGCTGTTATCTTTGCTCTGATAGCTGTCCAAGAGAGGCGGCGGGCGATCACTCGTTCAAGGCCTTTCCCCAGGGTCGAAAGGAGAGCAACGGGTCGGTATGAGCGTGGGCTAGATCTATCTGTCTTGTTGGGCTTGTTTAACATAACCAGCACAGCGGTCTTGAAGCAAGCAGGGTGGTGTCCAGCCTGGAGGCAGCCTCTAAAAAGATCGCAGACCCGAGTTTCGATTAGTGGCCAGTCAATTTTTAGGATTGCCGTTGGAATTTCGTCCTCCCCGGGTGCCGTATTGCCTGATCTAATGACCGAGTCCTTGATTTCGGTCAGGGTTAGGTCTGGGAAAGGAAGGCTAGTGACGCCGACTGATGGTGTATCTAATGGAACATCTATTGCATCAGAGGTATTTCGCAATAGGTTCCGAACTAGTACTTCTCGCTTGTCTTGAAGTGTGTTTGCAGGTGAGGCACCGGGGTTGGTTGGATCTTTGAGAGGTGGGGTGCGAAAGGATCCTACTGTTCGGTGCCAGTTAACGATCCCAAACACGTCTTTTGCTGTATTGGCATGACTTATCTTGTCCTGAAAAAACTTTCGCTTTGCCCTGCGTACTGCAGCGCGCAGTAGCTTTTTCCTGGCGGTGATATCATTCTGATTAGCCGAGCTTCTTCTAGCCGTTCGGTAGGCCTGTGCAGCGTTTCTGCAGTCGTTGTTCCACCAAGGTTTCCCGGTCCCCTTTCCAAGGCCTCGCTGCGCAGATGCTCTTTAGGCATTCTGGAGGGCCGTACAGATGCCTTTAGCGAAGAAATCTAGAGAATTAGGCTTTGGGTTTACGGGGAGGTTTTCTAGCTCTGCGATCTCCAGTTCGAGAAGGGAAAGGAAAAGCTTTTCGTCGAGCGTGCTGATTTTGAGGCGAGATATTGGCTCCTGGAAGCGGCTATCCCACGGAATTAAAGATGCAATAGGAAGATGGTCAGATTTGACATCCAGCTCCGGTACTATTGAAGATTCCGCTCCCGAGAGCATCAGCGGGTTGGAGGCAAATGCAAGGTCTAACACGCTACCGCGGCTATGCGTTGGAATATCCAATTGAGAGATTAAAGTAAGATTGAGACTATCTATCCACCTGATAAACGGTTCCGCTAGTGGACTGTTAGTTGAGGATGATGCTTGCCACCGCGTATGCCTGAGGTTTAAGTCTCCAGCGAGGAAAATTCGGTTAGAATTACTTGAGAAGGTGAGATCAAGGAGGGCTCTAACGGCCTCACCCCCATTTTTTGAGCCGGCGGGGGCATTGTAAACATTCACTACTAGAAGTTTTGCTCCAGATGGTGCAGTAACTTTCAAGAAAAGGAGATCTCTCGCAGCTATGCTCATTAGAGAGAGGGGCCGTTGTTGACATACTTGTAGTCCCGCCCTTTTGCGTATATACGTGAGCACTCGAGGCCGGGATGACCAGTCATCCGTGGGGGTAAAGCACTCATAGTTGGGATTAAATTTGGTGATGCGGCGCTGTCGGTCAGTGAAGATATAGGGCTCTTGAATGAGAACGATGTCAAATCTTTCTTCATTCGCAAAGGTAAGTGCAAGCTCATGTGAAGAGGCTCCCCTACAGACGTTGATCTGTAGAAGCCGTAGCGGTCCTATAGACCTGTGCCGTCTAGACTTTATTTTCGACGTCTAGGACAGAGTAGCGATTCCCAAGGAAGACCGTGGGACGTGAGGGTGGAGGAGAGGTGGTCCGAACAAGCTGGGTCGAGCTCGGGGATCCTTCAAGCATTAGTGGGCCGGAAGGCGTGTTAGAGGGGTTTGTCGCATGTTTTTAGGTGAGAGTTTGGCCCGAAGGAGTGTCAGTCATTTCCTCGTCTACTGTAGCGGGAGTGGTGCGGTCACGGATGCAGCCAACAGTAGTGTACAGACCCATTCTTGCTGCGGCAGATGTACTGCGGATTTGGGCTACTTGCCCCTTTGTCAGCTTTATACCATTTGACCGGAGTCTGAGTAGGCACTCTGGTGCATCGGCTGGATGTGGACCATGGCAGTGGATGCATCGGGGTGGGCAGGGATGTTGGTGCGGTCCACATGGAGTGTGGGTTTCCTCTGTATGCTCAACTGAGCCACAGAGACGGCAGCGTGGAGCGCGAGCACATATACGCTGGTTATGCCATTGAAAACATCTGCCACATTGAGCGATATTAATTTTCTTGGACAGTTTGCGGCAGTTGATGCCCATCCCAAAAATATGAAATCTTCGTGGGAGGTGAGAGCCTATAGGGAAGCGAGCAATAAATCTAGCGGAAGGATCGTAAGGGGATGCAATACTCCCTTTGGTTTCGACTACAATTGTAGGATTAAAACCTTTTTCTTCTTTAAGCTCCTTGAGGACGAGCTCTGAGGTGATTGGCTCCTTGACGAGTCTATTATTGTCGTCTAAAGTGGTGAATGTGCGAGGTACAGACGTAATAAGATAACTGTCCAGGTTTTGAGCTTTTTCGATGCCCAGAACACCTGGGAATCTCCCTTCCCGATGCCCTGGACGAAAAGATCTTCCAGCCTTGGTAAGGCCGCTTCTGAAGAGGGACGGAGTGCCAGGCCGGATGGAATATGCTGCACTTCTTTCAACAGGGCGGAGTTCTCTCCAAGGAAATTCTGGAGTTGAATGAGAAGGGAGTACGCTGATACTAGGCGTTCAGTTGCATTTTCATCAAGGCGTAGGAACAATCTGTCGTCTAAAGGCAGTGATTTGGCCTGTTTTTGGGGCTTAGCAGGTTTTGGCTTCTGGGGGGTACTTAATGCAGCATTGCCTTTCGGTTTTCCTGCAACGTGCGCATAGGAATGCCTCGCATGGGCAGCTGGTTTTGGCTGAGATATAGGAAGACGATCAGTTGTTGCAGGAATTGGTACACCACGCACATGGCTTTCGAAGAATTCTTGTGCAACAGCTTGCATACGTGTCAGGAAATCGTTTAAAGATTTCTGTAAATGAGGAGGGATTGTTGGGGCAGCGGTACCACGAGTGACGTTATCCAATGCTGCAGCCACGCCGCCAAATAAAAGAGTTGCTTCATGCGTTCTAGTGTTGGCTGTGGAGGTTGCTTCAATGAGGGTCTCTGTCAATGTCTTTGATGCCCCTACCGATAACGGGGGAATAGGAGGGGGAGGGGGATCTGGCATTTTTCGCAATGTATGGGGTAAGAATGTTACGATGGCTTGGAGTATATATCAAGATGTATATATTAAGAATGTGTGTAGTGTGGAATAGAGGATTGTTGCGGAAATGATATGGCGAATTGCATATGCTTGAATAGTGGTATGGATTGTTGTCTGTCTGCCACTGTTGTCTAGTCATGTTCAGAATAAACTAGAGTGAAGTTTCGCCTTTCACAGAATTGTGGAGGCACGTGATTAACATCACGTGATACAGGACAATTATCGGCTCACTAGCTGTTACACAAATTTAGACTTCATAGGCTTATGTGTGGCCACATAGAGCGCTGAATTAGGATTATTGAATTCTTCAACTCAAGTAAAAGACTAAGCAAAATAATTTTCGCACGTCTACATTATAGTCTCTTTTATATGAAATACGAAGGACTCTTCCAAGACAGTAATTTAGCTTTTTAATTTCATGGTAATTAACCGCCTTTGACTGTCTGCGTTAAAGTATTTAGCTAGACTGACTGCAGTTGATGATGGTATTAGGGATGGACTTGTGATGTACCAACAACGTAGAAGAGTAACACACAGGATGTTTGCGCGCTGAAGTTTATTTGCCAGTACCATGACCTAGTACGATTTCAACAGGATACAACCAGGCCTCATCTGGTAGAGCCAAACCTCAGTAGATTTCAGAACCAGTGATTATATCTGCCTATCTTCGTCGCATAGAGCGTCATTGCGCCAGATATCATGGGATTTTTCCGAGAAAAACTCGGCTTTTTCCAACGGTAGGCGCAAAGCTCGCGCAGATATATTACTGCCGATCATGGAGCCATCACACTCCGAGGCGTATGTGGCAATTTATCCTGAGTAAAGTGTCACTCATTTGGACAAAGGGCGACTCATGACCTGCATCTACTGAGTTGAGTATATTGGTAAAGAGTGGAGGCGATAGCGGTCTGCTTTCACACTGTTCAGGCTATTACCACTCGTATATCCCTGTCTTTTCGATGTAAGCGCCGCTATTGAGATCCATTTGCACTCCAAACAAGACGGCACGTCGTTCGAGTAGATCAAAACGCATCCTAGCCTGACGCACGCGAACCACTTCAGGGATAGATAGAGAGTCAGGATCTGATGTCTCTGTCACCGGTGCGGCCATAGTTGACGTTGAGTGGTTTGCCTCGCCATCTTTGCAAGATTCCATACTGTGCACCGCGGCCGGAATGAATGTACAGGTCTGTGCCGCATAGTAATTCCGCGCGCCCTCTTCCTCAAGCTCCATGACCCAAGAGCCAAGGCCAGAAGAAGATGCTGTATCCCAGACACCCTCGCGATGAGGGTACTTTCGAAGTAGTGCGAGCGCTTGTCGCCTTGTCGGGCCATGACGACATTTGATCAAAACTATGTAGAGTGACGGTATAAGGCCTATTTCAAATGAGAAATGAATGTCGACAGGACCTGGTGCGCCGGAGTGGCAATGAAACCGGGCAAAGTGTTCTTGTTGAAGGGCGAGGACTTGGCTAGCGTGCTGGACGATCAAGCGAAAATGGGGTAGAAAGATATCGTACGCGGATTCTGTGATAGAAAATGCTGCTCCAAGACTGATCTCATTACTAAGTGCCGCGATGCGTAATATGTGCGCGGGAATAGTATCTTGACTTTTCATTTTCATTCTTGCCTGAAGAAGTAAATGAGAGGCCTCAACCCAGGACCGAAGTTCACGTGAGAGCATGTCCTTCTCATTCTTCAATTTGGTGGATGAGATGGTGCTATCTATTTCTTCGAGTGAAATCTTAAGATCAACCCATGGGATTGGATTATGATTGGGGTTTATCCCCTGAGGAAGTAGCTGCAGCGTTGGCCAAGGCTTTTGTGCGTCCCCCGAACCGACTGGGCGGGACCGAGGAGTATGAATAGAACTATTAAAGTGCATGATACGTCGCGTGATTAAGTCGTGGTAGATACGGGCTTCCTCAATACTTCGTATAATCTTGGGCATCGCCGCAATGGTTTCTTTACCCTCGCACTTTAGAGTACTATGTACTTCAACCGGACGAGGATCAAAGACAGACATGCTCTGTATGTCTATGCGGCCAAAACTCTGTACGAGGAAATCGTCAACTACGTCAGGGCATGGAGATGAGTAGCCCTTCGGATGGAGAATCGGACTACTTTTTACCTGCGAATGGAAGTTCTCTACTATGGCTAGACCTGCCTGTAACTGGGCTGCCGCACTTCTGTGGTTACCATGTATGCCTTCAAAGCAGCTAATTATTATGCAGATAATAAGTGAGACTCGAATGTCCTGATAAAAGCCTTTCATTTCTCTCCGCATGCCATTAATAGCTTTTCCGTAAAATTCGAGAGCGTGTTGGTGATGTTCATTAGCCTGATTAATCATCTTTTTCGTGTCGATCGTTCCTGAACCTACTACGTGCTTCACGTCCATAAGGATAAGTTCACCAGTCACCGGCCTCTTACAAAGACGCGCAATTTCGTTTGTTTTCCCCAGTGCCCCGATAGCAATAGCGGCACAACGGATACTTGGATGTGACATACATGCCTGTAAAATTGTGAGCGTCCATCGTTCCGCATCAAAATAGGGACAAAGTTGACGAGCGATGCGGGTACTGAAGATGTCGAAGTAGCGCTGCTCTAGGTTACTCTGGAACAATCCAACTGTCGGAAACTGGAAGAGTGGACCACCATTAGACGGATACGGAGGCTTAGGAACGAGCGCGCGAACTCGAATCGTCCTAAAATTGTTTCGAGGGGATGCTCCTCGGTTGGTCGACTGGTAGCCGCCGCATTCTGTACCGTATTTATGACACCGTAAGCATTTCGGTTTGCCCTCGTCACATTTGACGCGACGAGCCCGACAAGTGATGCATCTATTGAAAGTCAACCTGGATAATCTATGTATTATCAAGCAGCACTTCATACCCCGTCTTAACTTTGGAGTGTGCGATGCGTCTTGCTCCTCCAGGAACATGACCAATTTTGTCTTTTGTCTCTGCAGGCGCCATATCGGTGAATTAGAGCTTAGGAAGTCATCATAAGGCCTTGAGTGTAGCAACACAATTTGACGAGGTTCTGTTACTATAATAGCGTTGAAATGTGCAGCCCATGGGAAAGGAGGGGTTATCAAGGTTGAAAATAAGCTGCCAATCAACCCGGCGCTAGAGATGCACGTCATATCGCTCCCGTAACGAGGCTAATACCAGAGAGGCTTAATCTACGTTTTACTTGGAATAACTTTATCCCCCTCCCTGGATTAACTTGGGATGCTTAAGTCACCTCTACCTACAGACCAAAGAAACCAATGCCATGGGTGGTTTATCCTTTCCTCCTCCTGCAGTAAAACAACTGTGTAATAATACCGCCACTTTCAATTCACTATTTGATCTTACACCCAGAGTATCTTTCCACCTTACATTCTCTCTTCACCCCAACTGACCCACCAAACGATGGTTTCTTTATGGCATAAAGCAGCCGGGAAACTAAAAATAACTCTGGCTATAGGGATCTTCCAACACCGACATAAGAATTAAATCTAAACACACAGCTGCTATGATACTGTTCTGTATCAGAATCGAATTCGAAAGCAAGCTCAATCACAACATGGGCGACATGTCAATTTTGGACATATGATTCTCACGCAAGTCTTCCAACTCAATCTTACCACATACCATCTCGCCTCAACTATCGATAACTAAGCTGCTTCATTGGCCAATGGGGGCTTGCCTTAACAATCTTCCGCAAAATATCACCGTAAACGGTACTACGTATACTCGCCAGGATGAGGACAAGCTATGAGTTGCAAAGCTTGGGGTTTGACTTGTGGGGGACCGTTGCTCTAATGGGACTATAAAACTTCATCAATGGCACCCGGCAGTTTCGTAATGGCAAGATCATTCAAAGAATTTAATAAAAGGATGTTTTGGGATGATTAGTGATTACTCAGTGTGATATGTTGATATTTTAACATTCAAGACCTTGGAGGTTCAGGGCTCACAAGAGGCTTATTATTTATACAACTGGGGTACCTAGACTTTTGCCTTATTCTCCCCAAACAGTATTACAGAATATTCTAGTATCATCTATTTGGTAGTATAATCTTGAAACATTTTTCATGCATTGCTTTGATATTCGTCTACTCATCATTTTTTTTATCATTTAATGTGTATTCAGCTATAAAGCTATGACACACGACCGGTGCTATGTATACATGTTGGATGACTCTTCTGACGTTAGAGACACTCATACTCTGGATTTCATTCGCAAATACCACTATGAGGTATGCTTGCTTACACAAACAGTCGACCCTCCTCCATAAGTACTCACCAAAAGGGAATTTAAAAACCTTTGATTATCCAAGCATGCCTTCGTCATCCATGCATACCAGCGCCGCGAGAAAATTGGTTGTGTTTTGCTGGATTTGAACCAGCGATCTACTGTCTCAAGTGGGATATGTGTCCAAGCTATCCAGACTCTACTTGGCAGACCGGTCAAGACGATGTACCACCGCACCATTCAACCATGGCGATGTTTATAGTGTCGCCTGCACTCTCGCAACCGAAGCCTTAGCACGCACAAAGCTCAATTCGTAAAACTCTTGCCAAATTTGGAAATTGCACGCCCGTCGAGATTTCATCCATCCGTCGCATCATCTTGTAAACTTGTCCTGATGTCTCTCACGTCCATCCCAAAGCACAGTCTCTCAGATTTGTGCGCCACGCTTTATTTCCCCCTTCAGATATAAATATCGGCGTGGGCGTATATTTGGTGACCGGCTGAGGCCAAAGAAAGTCGACGAAAGGTGTGATCATTGGAATAAGGATGTACTAGGTCGTACTTGAAGACTTGATGAGGCTTAGGTAGGAATCGATCTCGTTGGGAGTGAAAATTTGACGTGGTGGAGTAATTTGAATCATTGCCTCGTGGGCCAACTTGTTCGGTATTGCGAAATTTGACTGAACTTGGCTCTGAGAGAATATTTCACTCACAGGTTCGTAGAGGACACCGCGTACAAGTATTCAGTCTTGCCCTCCGTCTACTCATCATGGAATTACCTGGAATGGTCATCATTCAGTTTTTTAGTGATCGAAACCCTTGTGCAACGTAATCTTGGCTCTCACAAGCACAATAGACTGTGACGTGGAGTGAGAGATGGAAGAGTTTATCCATTTAAATGCTGGGATTGAATACGCTCGAGGGGTTTCAACTTTTGGATGTACGTTGGCACTAAGACTAAGGTTTCGAATAGTACCACCATCACTTGAAATACAGAGGGCTATCCTCAACACCTGTCAGTGGTGTCCTCTGCGAGCCTCCAGCTCTCACTGTAGAATCTGCAGAGCCGAGTTTGAGTGATAAAGTCCTCACATCGACAAGGATTCCCAATCGCTTTCGCGATCTGTATCGTCTTCATCTCTCAACACATTCCCCTATCACCATTATCATGAAGCTAACCACCATCAGATCAGATGGTAGGGTCGGAGCCCTACTCACCACCAACCCTTTATCATGGAGGAAAAGCCATCCGATGAGTTTCCGGAGCGTACCCAGCACCCTTTACGGAGATGGCGGATTGGATCAAGTCGGCCTCGATTGTTACAAAGAAGGGAGGTATAGATGAATATGCGCACCTCATGTGGTCCCGGTGTCTAGGCCTCGCCTGGCTGGGGCTGCAGGTTTTTTGAGACTTTTTCCCGCGCACGCAGTTTCCATTGCCACCATTTTTATCTTTTTTGGGTAGAAGCTTCTGTGGAAAAGGTTGCCGAATTCCGCGGGCAAACGCTGAGCCGAATAGCTATTCATCAAGGGGAATATATCAATGATCTATCAAGTAACAAAAGAGGATAGGAGCACTGTACAAGGTGTGGCCTGAGCCAGAGAGGAGACTAATGTGCTAGATAGTCTATGACTCAAGTAGTACAATAAACACTCACTCACTCACTCACTTGAAATACAGTATGCACCATGTTTGCTTCGGTAAATGAAGATGTGAGAAAATTACTTCTGTCAGGATGACAATCAAAGGCGCAATTTAAAATGTATAAGAAGATGTTTAAACTGTCCTTTGCAGGTGTTGATGGTGACATGAATTAAGATGATGAATGTGATTGTAATTGAGATAGATTTTTGTATAGTTTATTATACACGATTTACTCAGGTTCATATACCTCGAGCCAAGCAACCAGATAATGTTCCTCCAGATCTAGATTCATCAGAATAATTACTTACTCAGAAAGTTTCTCCAAATCCCAGTTGTATGTCTAGGACCTTGATTAGATTTCTATGAATTTTCAATGATGTTTTTCCTATCACTGAGACATAGTCATGGATAATACAACAAGTATAAACGATGAATCGTGTCTATACACGACGTTGCGATAAAGTCATGATCGTTTGAGCAATACCCACTCATGAATGAATCATATCTCTGCATGAAAAGATCCCAACGTAGAAAAGATCTCTTGGTGAATTGTATCGGGTTATTACGGCAAGAAAGAAAGCACTGGATTCAGATATTGTTTTTTTTTCTGCTGCTACGTTTTGAGTCGGTCTTTTAGGCAGTTTTGGGTCCCTTGGCATCGACTTACCGTGTCATGACTGCATGTCCTACATAGTCTAGAATTCAGAAAGGACTGTGACAACAACAATACCTGTGTCTTTTTCTATAGATGCACCCCAATATCTATGACAACAAATTTTGGCATATTTCAAAATTAATTTTCTCAAATGTAATTAGAATCTTTAGTTAGATTCACAAAGTCCTCCAGAGTCTTAGACTCAGTAGGGACTATAATAAAAATCTAATCGAATCTATAGATGTAGGGTTTGTGCCTGGAACTTTAAAATTGTCAGTATCAACTATGGACGATGATGGCAAGTCAGGAAATTGATACGTAATTTAGTAAGTCTTTTATATTGACATACCAACTTTGATGGGTAAGTGTAGGAGAAGCTTCTCTCCCTAGCGGATCTTCAGCTCAGTGTATTTATCGAATATCCCTAAATATGGTATCCATAACTACACTTTTTGAAAGGCAGAACTGAATACCTGTACGTAGTGTCCTCTACGAAACTGGGAGTGAAATATTCTCCCAGAGCCGATTTCAGTCAAGTTTCTCAATACCAATGAAGCTAGCCTACGGAGCAATGATTCAAAAAACTCCACCACATCAATCTTTCACTCCCAACGAGTCTGACTCCTACCTAAGTCTCATCAAGTATATGAGTACGACCTAGTACATCATCATTCCAATGATCACATCTCTCGTCGACTTTCTCTGGCCTCAGCTGGTCGCAAAATACACGCCCACGCCGATATTTACACCCGACGGAAGAAGCAAAGTATGGCACACAAATCTGGGAGATAGTTCTTTGGGATGGACGTGAGAGGAATCAGGACAAGTTGACAAGACGACAAGATGATGCAAAGGAAAGATATTACTCCGATGGCCGCGAATTTTTGAATTTTGGCAAGAGTTTTACGAATTGAGCTTTGTGCGCGCCAAGACTTCGTATACGCGAGTGCAGCTGACACTCTAAACACAAGCCGACGATGGAATCATCTGTGTTCCACCTCCTAGTGGCGTTCTCCAGTATTGTCTGAGTAGCCTGGGCACCTACTTCACTTAGGAAGGAGATATCTAAGATCACATTTCGCGTGGAGAAAAGTTGAAAGATGATGGAGGCATGTCTGGATAACTCAGGGTTTTCGAGACGTTCCCCTGGGTAGGTATTCACGGATGAGGGATAACTTTGGGTGACGAAAAAGCCGCCATAACTTCGCAGAGGTACTTGCAAGTGAAATCCGAGGCGTGGGTGCTCTTCCTTTGCAGAGTCATCTGTTACATACTTTTCTTTGGTATTGTGTCATAGCTAGATAGCTGCATACGCAATTAAAATCAGATGCAAAAAAAACTACACTTTTTGTATACTGACAGACGAGGATGGATCGCTCTACGTCATCAAAAAGACCTCATCGCAGTACTTACGAATAAAATTTAGAGTCGGAGTGTCTTTGAAATCATAAGATTCATGTATAATTTAAACAAACCCTGATCATTTGTTATGAGTAGACTGCTGCATTCATGTTGAATGAACCCTAGAAAATCTGGTAGTCTAATCATTCGAATGAGGATGTCATTATACTCAATCATATATGACCTAAAACAACATGGTTTCAATCAGTTTCAGGTCCAGAGGGTTCTGAGGACAGCTTTAAGGTAAACATATCCAATAAAGTTTCTTGATCGTTTTCGAAGTTCCTATTAATCCTTCTGAAGTAGCTACTGTTCACATGTTTCGTTTCAATTGTGCGTATCAAAAAGGAGATTTGTAGTAGAAAATGTAACTGAAGAGTGCTTCGGTGTTTGTATCAAAATTCGTTATCTATCATCAGCCCTTCATCCCCTCCGCCATCTTTACCTCTCTTACCCCTAATTCCTAGCCTACTCCAGCTCTTATTAAGTCGCCCTTCCTTTAAATTTAACGAATCCTTGTCTTTAGCTTGCGTCCATTCGCTAGGAATATTTCTGCAACCCAGCACAGGGTTGCCTGCAACACTGTCGAGGGCTTTACTGTAAGAGTCGTCGAAATATGGCTCCGTATTTCTTTCTCTTTCAACCGGCAAATTACATTCTAAATTGACTATACTGCTACTGGACTTCTTGTTGCCGCTAAAAATAGTTGTCTCCTTGTTACGAAATGTAGAAATACTAAACTTGCTAGAACTACCTTTACGAAAAAGACGATGTAGTGATGACTCATCTTTGTCCTTAAAACTAGCACTTTGTGTTATCTCAGAAGTGGATTTACTACTTCTACGCTCGAGGCTAACTTGAGATTCGGCATGGTCAGCCTGCGTATAAACTGATTGAGCATGACGCGATTGAAGAGAGGTGGAAGACGATGTAGTATTTGCGTGGCCTAAGGCTGCATAATCTAGATCTGAGGAATCTGCTTCTTTTGCTGGGTTCATCTGTGATCTTTGCTCTGTTAGAGTTTTATCATACTGACTGAACCCGAATCCATGAAAAGCTGGTGCGGCTGGATTGAGCTTTGGGGCACTGATAGTTTGGTTCAATGGCGGAGTTTTGGTGCCGATAGCGCTAATGGTGACAGACTGGCCGTATTGATGAGTGAGAGAGTCTGAAGGAGGCAGGAAACCATCATTCTCGCTGACAATTCTCGAAGAGAAAGCTGCACTAGTATCATATCGACGGTTTGGCTTACCTGTGAGACTGTTGGACCATGCAGTTTGATGCTGGAGGGATACATGATTCGAGCCGTAAAGAAACCAATTCGTTGCTAACGGGACATTCCCAGAAATCAAATTGTCTTGAGCAGGACTCCAACCAAACGGCGCAGAATCGGTAGATGGGCGAGGAAGGTCTGAGGATGCAACGGAAAGTGGTCTCGGACTTGAAGAATTGATGTCGTTGCCATTTTGCTCATCAAAACCAGAACCTAAGATGCTGTGCCGAATTTTCCTGGAAGTCGAGGGTGATATATTGTTATCTGCAGAAGACTCTTCGGTGGGCAAAGTCCTGTGCAACAATCCCGACCAGGTTGAAGAAAAGGTAACGCGTCGTTGTTTGTTCCCGGTAGCCCCAGTTTCCTCAATAGACCTTGGGAATGAACTACTCTGATTTGGTTTAAGTGATCCCAATGAAGGCCCATTAGATACCGTTTCTCTAGTTTTGGATTTGGATAGGGAAAACAAATCTCGGATTCCTTTGTGGGTAGAATGCTTACTTGAAACCGCTGTTCCAATGGCACCGAAGCCTGAATTTTGAAAGTTAAAAGAAGAGTCATTCTCTCTAGAGCTAAAAGTAGTGGCATCATGTCTAGGAATATTTTGCGATGAGGCTCGTGGACTGGTAATGTGACCCTCTGGTTTATTGGGAGATTTTGGTAGCTGTGGACTATGGTCTATGTTTGATATGATCATCTGATCAGGTATTATTGGGCCGCATAGTTCTAACGGTTCAGGAAGTGGACTTGGAAGATCTTCATCAGCGAATATATTTGAAGGTAGCAGAGATGTTGCTGTTGGACTTAAGGGAGCACCAGCAGTTAACAAAGAGTGGTCTTCATCAATAATATGGTCAAATTGGTCTGAAGACTGTGCAGGAGTAGCATCATTAGCTATATCCATGTAAGGTCCTGGTGCAAAAGAAAGTGGTGATTGATTTCCAAAGGCATGAAAAGAAGTATCTGAGACGGGGCGTCGTGATGTGGCTGAGTGAATAGTTTGAGTTTTTTGATTTCGGGGCTTTAGTGACTTTTCTTTATCTTCGGGAACGAGAGGTTCGAAATCGATATTTGAGAAATTTCCGTGGAAAATGACAGAATTTCTCTGCTGAAGGGTTGTGAGGTAAGCTTGTTGTTGATGAAGATTTGATCCAATATCCCTGAGTTGACGGGATTTAGCGTTAAGTTCAGCAGTCATAGCCTTTTCAGTATTATTCCATTCTCGATCTTCATGCTCATCTCTGGAGCGTGATCCTTCGTCATCGTCGCAAGAAAGTATGTGCGTACGATGCTGCTCAAGCTGCTTGATTTGCAAACCTTTGATTCTAATATCCTCTTCAATTGCGTTCAGCGCAGCTTGCCGCTGTTTTATTTCTTGTCTTAGTTCAGCCGTTTTTATTAGCTTCTTTTTATCAAACTTATCCTTCTCCCCTAGCCATCTACCCCTTTCAGACTTCATATCTTCAATTTCTTTTTTCCATCGTTTCATATCCTCTTCCATCTTAGAGCGCTCCGCAACCTTCTCTTTGAGGAGCTTTTCTTTTTGAGATTTTCGCGTCTGAGCCTGTCGATTTAATCTTTCTGCATAATTGACTTCTTTCTTTAACTTTTCACTTGCCTCTTCCCTCTCTTTCAAAGTTTGTTTTTTGTCATCTTTTTCCCGACATAGCTCAGTAAGCTGGTTTTTGAATTCTTCTGATTCTTTTGCCATCTCTACTGCTATCTTTTCTCGCTCTTGATTGACATTCTCCAATTGTGCTGTTAGATGGTGCATTGGCTCTCTCGATTCTTTGACTAGCTCTAAGGATGGGATTGCTGGTTCGATTCCGACAGTAGATGAGGAATATTTTCTCCCGTTAGGTGTCCCACCAGTGTTTCTTCGCTGTCCAGAGTTGCGATTCCCAACAGCTCCTGTAGCTGTATCTCTATGGGTAGCAGAAAGGTTTTCTGGAAGAGCGGTAGCTTCTAGACATACAGCCTGTCCGCGGTTGGAGGATTCTTCACCTATGTCATTTTCAAAATTTTCTGATGTAGGATTTGAATATGAGCGCCGGTTACCAAGCATAGGCCGTCCATCTTTGCCGTAAGTGCGCAGTCGTATTACCAAGCTTCCTGCCTGAAAGTTATTGGGGCCAACAGCAATCACTCTGACATTGTAAAAGTGCCCTGGTCGTAACCCTGTGACAGTTATAGCTGTCTCCAATCGTGAAGTTTCTCCCACTACCTACTATCAGCTTTTTATGCTATCGGGTCTTAAAGCTGCCCTACCATTGACTCCGTTCACCTGAATATAGTATTTAACCACTGGCTTTTGCGGCTCCGGTTTCGACCAGTATAGGGTTATGGCATCTCGCTTGATACTGGCTAGAGATACTTCGGGTGGATCAGGAACTTCGATCCCAAGAATACTAATAAGCTCGGGCACGGGTTTCCACAAAGTTTGCCAGGCACGAAATAAAAGCCTTAAAAAGTTAGTCGGATAGGTTTGAAATATTCCAGAGAACGCACCATATGAGAGCGCTACATGTTGCCACTGATTGGATGATAAACATGTTGTAGTCAGTAACATGGTCAAGTATCCAGTCAAACAGCACGCTATAGAAGGTGACAGCGTTCATCCAGAGGTACTCGGGAACAACTGATACGACATAAGGGCAATCAACCGATCTTACACAAATGCTAGAAAAGACTTCTGCGTTTCGAACAAGGGAGCTGCTATCTTGGCCGTGCAGAGCCGATCGTGGTGTTAATTCTACAATGTTAACCGAATCAACGAAGTTGTGCATGTATCCGGCTGACATGGAGTCCTGAGGCATATATATATATATATTTTAAGGCTAATCGAGATCTATTATGGCAACAGCGACTTAGGCGAGCGGTCAGTTTGAGTTTATAAGTTTTGGATGTAGACATGAACAGGGATTAAGGACAAGACGGGTTGTCCGGACGGGTCACAAGATCAATCAAAAAACACGATTTAGTATCTTAAGGATTACATGGCATGGCGATAAATTTACTTTGGAATTATGGCAAAGGCGGGTCTTATGTTTACCTTACTCGTGCCAATGCCTGTGGAATTTCTGCTTAATATTATTTATTTATTTACTGGCTCGTATGGGGGAGGGGTCTAGGCAACGTTGGCAAAGAACGATTAACCGCTAAAATAGAATGTCAATCATGCACTGTCCTAACCTAATACTAGTCATCCCACGCTTAGCTCAATGTCTAAGTTCATAGAATTCCGAGGAATACGGAATGATGCCAGGTGGTAGACCGCCACTCAGTGACATGCTTACTGGATTGCCAGGAAAAATGAGCGAACGGTTGTGACCGTAAAACAACTACTGCATAACCGAGCGACGAAGTAACAACTGTTGGATCAGAACAACTTTTTGGCAGCTTTGTAGTCTTTCCTTCACCACCACCACACCTTGTCACAATCATTGTACATGGTGTGATCCCGCGATTTCTTTTGACTGCTCCTTGTTCTCCATCTTAATTGACTCTGACACTTCCGAACTCGAGGTTGGAATACATTCGTTTGGCCGGTTAATATTCTCAATAACTGACCTAATCGACTTCATAGCTAAGAAAGCTCATACATACATGTTATCCATATCCTATTTTCTTACAACAAACTGTCAAATCGCGACGCTGTAACTATGCAATACGTCAGAAGTATCAGTGGTTCGGTATCCAAGACATGGAATTCAATCAATCCTGCTACCCTTAGTGGCGCAATTGACGTTATTGTTGTCGAACAAGAAGATGGAACACTTGCATGCTCTCCCTTTCATGTACGCTTCGGGAAATTTTCTCTCTTACGACCATACGAAAAGAAAGTTGAGTTTCGGGTGAATGATGTTAAACAGGATTATGCCATGAAGTTAGGTGAGGGTGGAGAGGCGTTCTTCGTCTTCGAAACTACCGATAACATTCCTGAATCGATGCAAACATCTCCATTAGTGTCGCCTGCATCGAGCCCTCCGCTGATAGCGGAAAGTTCAAATACTTGTAGTCTCTCTGAGCCAGACTTCCTAGAACTGGATATAGCCGATGATAGATCGAGACCAGTAAGCAGGCACGGTACGCCGAATCTGACTGCGAGCTTGTACCGGACGCATCATTACAGTAAGTTCCCACTCGCTTGGACCTCTAACCTATTGACAATCTTAGGCTTGACAGCACCTCTCTCTGCCTCACCTCTCTCTGCCTCACCAGAATTCACGAATGAGAAGCTCACAGCTGGAAGCTGGACCGGTGTCACTTCAGTGCGTCATCGCTCTGAAGAGGTATTTTCTCTCCCTAGTCGATTAATGGGTAGCGAAGAAATAGTTAGGGAGCAGCACGTTCGCTCACTGACTCCCAGTTTACCACTAGATGATGGTCCTTCCGAATGTTACACCGATGATTCCCATTGTCCCTCACCCCTACCTCCCAAGCAAGTCATTGAGCGTGCCTTGGCTCTCTCGGAGAAGCTTTCTGCCTCAAATATTCCAAGTCAAGTGACCGGTACTGGAGATTTGATGTTGGATATGACAGGCTACAAGAGTAGTGAAGACGATGCATCCCGAGCAGAGATTGTGGCGCGAAAAATATTATCAGAGGAACTCGAAGAAAACTACGACATAGGAGCTCTTATTGGAGCAGACGAACACGGAAATCTTTGGATTTACAATAGCGAGGAAGCTAAAGAAGCGGCAAACCACAGTGCCGGCTTAACAGATATTCCTTCTCGTCGGACATTGAACAGAGATGTGTCATCAGATCTGGGCTATCACAGCGAAGGAGACGGAACACCAACTCCAATCGTTCCTCTTCATCGGAGAGGGGATTACGATCTTGGCCTTGAAACTCCTCCAAACACTCCCCCTGAGAGTGCAGGAGATCCAAATCGTAACTACGCAAAGACACTTCGTTTGACGAGTGACCAGTTGAAATCTCTAAGTCTTAAGACTGGCCCAAATCCTATAAAATTTACGGTCAATAGAGCGACGTGTCAAGCGTACATGTATCTATGGCGTTATGATGTACCCATAGTGATTTCAGATATTGATGGGACCATTACAAAATCTGATGCTTTGGGACACGTTCTAAACATGATTGGTCGCGACTGGACGCATATTGGTGTTGCTAAATTATATACCGACATTATCAACAATGGTTATAACATTATGTATCTAACATCTCGCTCTGTCGGTCAAGCCGACACAACTCGCGCTTATCTTAATGGCGTCATCCAAGAAACTTATCGCCTGCCCAAAGGACCAACCATTTTGAGTCCTGATCGCACAATTGCAGCACTTCGACGTGAGCTTTACATTCGTAAGCCTGAAGTGTTTAAAATGGCTTGTTTACGAGATATTAAGAGTCTTTTTGGACCTAATAGAACACCATTTTATGCGGGGTTTGGTAACAGATTTACGGACGCCCTATCTTATCGTTCGGTCAGTATACCTAGTAACCGAATCTTCACGATAAACTCAAATGCCGAAGTCTCCCTCGACCTACTTAGCTTGAATAAACTACGCTACAGCTATGTCAACATGCGCGAGGTTGTAGATCACTATTTCCCACCGGTGAACATGCTTGTTAGGTCCGGTGGTGAGGAATATACCGATTTCACCTACTGGAGGGAACCTGTTCTCGATATCGAGGATTTCTCCGACTCAGATGGTATGGAAGAGGAAGATGATGATGATGACGAAGTTGAAGAAGGGACTGAGGAATACAGGGCTCCAGATGAATTAGAGGACAGTATGATCTCTACGTACTCAATAGATGAAGTAAATGAAAAACCTGCCAGCACGAACGAGAGAGGGTAACAGAATCTCGTGGAAGATCAGCCTCAAACAAACAATGGCAACTTGGTTGTCAAGGTCTTAGGGCCAGGAAATATTAATCAACGCACTGAACCTCGATAAATTGAGGAAATAATAGCCATAACTAAAGACATATATCTTGGCTGATAAGTTTCAAATTTGTCACAATATAACAAGATAAATCTAAATCTCACTGAACCGAAAAATGAGTCGACTTTAAGCTCATGTAGTGAATTTGTTTTCAATTTCCAATTTTTGAGGACATAACATTGATTAATGCGGAACGCAGTATCGCACATAGTGCACGGGGTAATTTCTGGAGTAGTTGTGAGATGACTGAGATTGGTAGTACAGAGAGATAGTTAATTCATCTTGGCGTTTCAGATTCAAGTCTAAGGATCTGGGCTATGCCCGGTCTAATTGATGTTGCTAACAGAGAGGCAGCTTTTGAATTCGAGACATTTGTATATCCTCAATACACTGCGTTGATTTGTATAAAAGGCTAGTAAGAACAATAGATAATTAATGATACAACTGATTTCTCATAATTTCTGTCTATTATTCAGGTAGGGGTCTCCAATTGCATCACGTTACCGGTAGTTCTATTGATATTTATGGGGAGAGTGGTCACATCAAGAAAGAACGAAAATATCTACAAAGTTTGAAAGGACGAGAATTCACCAATGTCCCAGCAGCACAAGATTAACTGTCGTCAAATAGATCCCCTATGTTACAAGCGCGATTTAGGAAAATGCGCGAAATATTATCTTTATACTATTTAGAATTCTTATGTTTCTTGTTGTCTAGTTGAAAAAATTCCTCAGAATTGAATGCTGATCAAATTTATCGCACACTCTTTTTCGCGGACAGGCCATGTGAGGAATAATTATTTAATAATTTTCAAAATTCTTGATCATAAACCTAATTATTACGTGCAGCAAAGTCAAGCAGACTGCAAGGGAAACAGAGAACAGGCACGCCAAGAATCGAAAGCAAGACATTGAAGAATAGACCAGAATTTGCGGCTTGGAGAATGCGAAAGGGAGACAAAAAGAAGCCGGAAAGGTGGCCGCGTTTCAGGAGTGGAAAAACTCATGGACACGTCCAGCAAACGAGATAATATCTGGCCATCGAGCTTCGGCAGACCCCAAACATTGGAAAGCCGCAAATATTATTACAGATGAGACAATAGGCAGAAAAAAGGTTACCTATAGGAACACACCCTCAAATATACACCGGAACCTTAGTAGGGCCCAAAGCAGTATTACAGCTCAGATAAGAAGTGAATACATTGGTCTCAATTCTTATCTGTATCGAAGGAAACTCCCCGGAGGAATTAATCCAAAATGACAGTGTGGATATCCGTCTCAAAATGTCAAACATATGGTCTTGGCGTATCCTCAGTGGGTAATGGGAAGAGGAGAGGTGCTTCGAAAGGCAAAAGATAGGTCATTTGCGGCAATGATGAATAGCCCAGATGACGTAGAGAGAATTACAAAATGGATCCTGGCAAAAGGCTGGTATGAACAATTCCGGCTTGCAGGAGAAGTAGAAATAGCATTGGACGAAAGGATGAGACGATTTGGATAAGGATAAGACGGATTTCACACTGTATAAACAGTGTAAACGCACTTTCTGTAGGAAACCTCAGAAAAAAAATAGACACGAGACAGACAGTTTTGGGGGTTTTTACCGAATATGGTTTCCTCCTGTGTAAATATTATAGCTAGTTATACCTGCATGGGCCCATAGGGTACCTGAACGGGCTAAATGAAATCAAATCAAAACCCTAATTATTAAAATTGTGGGGCTTATAATTCAGCTACGCGTTCTTAAGCAGTAAAGAACGGCAGCAAAGACGGATTCTTCACCTTCCAGTGGTTCCAGTGTAATCGCTCAGTGTGCTCTGCATATCTGGGATAGCCATGAAGAATCGTATCCGAACCGAAGTCAAGAGCAACCTCAAGCATATCTAAGATCGTCGACTTCTCGTCAATGTCGGACCTACTATTCTAACACGGGTCCTCTACGACAATATTTTTACACCATCTCGCTTCAAATATCGATAAAAGTGTTACTCCAACTGCAGTCAGAAATTTTCCTCTTCAAAAATCGGCCATCTCCCACTACAAAGTTACGATACTATGTATACTCGCGAGGAGAAAACTTAGTCATAATATGCAAAGCTCGGGTCTTGGTCTATGGGGATTGACATTTTGATGTAGGACGAGCGAGTGAAGAGGTCGAAAATGGGCATACTGGGGCACACATTTTTCGATTGTTTATGACTTTGAGGTACGTTTGGGTAATTTTGGACGCCAACACTACGGTTGAATAGTGCCGCTGTCGCTTTTACAACAATCAAAGATGGAAGGTGTCGTGATCCGCTTCCTGGTCGCATTTCCCTGTGTTATAGTCTTGGTAGCCTGGACACCTAATTCACTAGAGAAATGGAAGACTGTGAGGCCATTTTTCTCGCGGCGGCTGTATACAAGATGGCAAAGGTATGTTAGGGTAGCTAAAGGTATTCCCTGTTTTCCCTCTGGTAGATGTGAACGGTTGAGGGAAGATTGAAAGTCCCTAGCACAGAGGTGTCGAGTGGTATCAGAAAATGCACATACTACATGAGTGATCCAAATTTCAAACTGAGTTATAGTCATATATAGTCGTCAGGAAAGAACTAGCCTTCTCCGTGTCAAGCTCTATAAGTGTTAATCTTATGCCCGTCACGAATAAATATTCATTCATTCATTTATCAATAAAGATAAGAATATAAATTATTTGTCCGTGTTGGAATTACTACGGAGTAGTTTTACGATCGATCGTAATGATTCATTAAAGAGTTGTACGATTCTGTATTGATCTAAATGTTCACAATGTCTTGTTAGAAGGGCATGACCCTCAACATCTATTGGAACATATTAAATAACTTCATTTTAACATTGAAATAGTAGCCATAATTTTGATGGTAGATTCTAGAAGTCCTTCGTAGTTTTAGACTCAGTAGGGGCTAGAATAAAAATTCTTATCTTATCTTATCTTGTCAGACACTGAGGGTCAAATGAAAAGTGTAAAGTAAAGTGGTATTGATGAAATCTCTGCTTCTCAACTCCTTTCCAGCAATGATGCTATATACCCACCTGAAACTATCTCGAGGAGAGATTATCTTCTCCTCGTTTCCCAAAATTACATATGAAATATATTACATGTGTTGAAGATCAAAAGATCTCGAGTTAGAACTTTGACTACCCTGAACATCCTGATCACCATATCCCTGGTGAGATATCAAAGCTCGAGTAGAGTAGATTAGATTAGATTAGGGTTTTATTATAGTCCCTACTGAGTCTGAGACTATGGAGGACTTTGTGAATCTAACTAAAGATTCTAATTACATTTGACAAATTTTGTTGTTATTTATGCGACAGTGGAGTTAAGAGTATACTGCATACCAGCTATATATCCAGCTGCGTGTGGATACTTGCTCTCGAAATCAGATTCCTTATAATATAAATATATATATAATTTATTGTGTGTATTATAACTACAACTATTGGTGCTACTTTTCTTGTTCTTACAATTATCTACACAGGAGGGCAAGACTGAACACCTGTACGCGGTGTCCTCTACGAACCTGGGAGTGAAATATTCTCCCAGAGCCAAGTTCAGTCAAATTTCGCAATATCAAAGAAGTTGGCCCACGAGGCAAAAATTCAAATTACTCCACCATGTCAATCTTTCACTCCCAAAGAGTCCAATTCTCAACTAAGCTTCATCAAGTCTACAAGTACGACCTAGTACATCCTCGTCTCAATGACCACACCTCTCGTCGAATTTCTCTGGCTTCAGCCGGTCACCACATATACGCCCACGCCGATATTTATACCCGACGGAGGAAGCAAAGCGTGGAGCACAAATCTGGGAGATAGCTCTTTGGGATGGACGTGAGAGGGATCAGGACAAGTTCAAAAGATGATGCAGAAGAGGGATACGTTTTCGACGGGCGTGGAATTTTGAATTTTGGCAAGAGTTTTACGAATTGAGCTTTGTGCGCGCCAAGACTTCGTATACGCGAGTGCAGCTGACACTCTAAACACAAGCCGACAATGGAATCATCTGTGTTCCACCTCCTAGTGGTGTTCTCCAGTATTGTCTGAGTAGCCTGGGCACCTACTTCACTTAGGAAGGAGATATCTAAGATCACATTTCGCGTGGAGAAAAGTTGAAAGATGATGGAGGCATGTCTGGATAACTCAGGGTTTTCGAGACGTTCCCCTGGGTAGGTATTCACGGATGAGGGATAACTTTGGGTGACGAAAAAGCCGCCATAACTTCGCAGTGGTACTTGCAAATGAAATCCGAGGCATGAGTGCTCCTCTTGTAAATTGAGTCATCTTTTCTGTACTTTTCTTTGATATTGTGTCATAGCTAGATAGCTGCATACGCAATTAAAATCTGATGCAAAAAAAAAAAAAAAAAAATTATCTACACACTTCACAATTACGGAAAGTGTGGAATTCTAAGCGAGACACGTGATACAATTACAGATTTATTGCATGACTTTCAACAAATTTCATTTTGAAACATGCCAAAATTTGTTGTTAAAGATATTGAGGGACAAGCCCTCAAAACTCGAGGAAGTTAATCCGAGATGTGTCATATTAATACCCAAAGATTCTCATTACCTTATTCAGTAGGTTCTAAATTATCAGATGTATGACATGTCTTGTCTTCTACAATACACAGGACCCACAGCTTTTCTATTTATTTATAATACTTAACGTCGTGCCCGAGCACAGCACGTGAGCTCCTCACGTGCCGGTTAGCTCAGTACAAATGAAACTGCCCGACGTATGTATAGCAGAGCGGACGGGATGCCCAATTCTCCTCAATCTATGGTTATATTTGGCCCGACGTATGTATGTATGTGTGTATGAATTTCGTATCAGGCAAAAGCCCTACACCCAAGAGGCATGATACGGGTGTGTGATCCCTAAAGACTCACT